TATATATATATATAATGTATGTATAATGTCTGTATAGTTTTCATACATTTTTTGTTTTAATTACTTTAGTGCATCATGTTATATATATATTATATTATATATTACTTTAGTGCATCATCTGGGCAATGACTAAAAATAAGTTTAAGGTTTTTTATATTTTATCTCAAATAATAATTTTTATAGTTTAAGTTCTAATTAACTATAATAGCATAATAATTACAATAAACATAGTATTATAATAACTATAATAACAATGGCTCAACATCCTTTTCACACAAAATGTAAAACACGAACATAGAGAAGAATTATAAACTATACCTGAATATCTGTCTAGGCTGGTACTGCAAGGTGTACGGACATCCCGCTTCGGTGACACAATGTGTGATCTGGTTGGAGTTCCACTTGCTAATGTGGGAGAGGAGGCAATGCGGCTTGGATCTTCAGATTTGCGCTTGTTAGGCCGCTTTTGTGGGTGATCTTCGAGTTGTGCGAACTCATTGGGATGCTTATGCTGTAGATGTCTGATAAGATTACTTGTGCTACTCCGGTGCTGGATCTTCTCCATGCAGAGCAAGCACAAGGCTCGTGGCTCCTGGCCAAGCTTCCGATAGTGCACCCACACGGAGCTCCACTTGCGAGTATTAGCCGGGTTGTCATTCTCTTGTATCTCTTTCCCATCCCCTTCATCAACAGGCCCCTCGCCTTCCTCATCAGCCACCTCTGCTTCAGTTGTCCCTTCCCCTGCCGCAGCACGGAGGATCCCTTTGATGGCACCATCCATTTCGCCATCTTCTCCCACGGACTCCACCTCTACCTGCTGCTCATCCATTAATACTGTAACTTGATACAGAAAAAAATGAGGAAAAAATTAGATGCATAGAATATTTTCACATGGCTAAATGCACTTTAACTGAACCTGTGACACTCTTTAAATGCTTGTCCCTTGTGTTTGTAGAGTGCATGAGGACAGACTGAATTACAGACAATAAGCAGCACAAAATAGCTTTTGTAATAATCCGCATTTAAGTAATATGTATTACTAAAAGACAATGAGATGGTTAAAAACAAAATTATGCAAAGCTAAAGGTAAACAGAAAAATAAGGCAAATGAGGGAATACGTGCACATTCGACAAAAGATGCTCAATCCATAACGCTTTATTTGAAAATACAAATTGGGCTTTTGAGATACATAAGCTAAATCATTAAGCGGCCTTCCGCTAGATGAAGACAGAACAGAACGTTGCTAAGCAACAAAAGCAATGATTCGACATGGAAGCTGAGTGCTGTACGTCATAACCATTTCTATCCCTATCTGTTTATTACTATATATTTTATAACGTAAGTAATATTAAAACAGGCATAGCGACAAATAAACGTAGTTTCAGCCAATGACCTAACTTACTAGTTTTAGATTTTTTTTTTAAAAATCGCGCCCATCCGGGAATGTGACAGATGGTGCATCACGTGACAATTTCGGATCAAATACAGTTCAATGCAATTGAGATTTTAGAAAATGACAGACATTATGTACAATTCACCAATCATAGATCGTTCGTATATATTATTTAATACATCATACAGAACGGGGTCGTTACGGTTGAAGGTTTTCTAACCAGTTTATTCTGGAGAGGAGGGGGCGGGGAGCCTCTTTCAGTCAGAGCACCGTATATTGCTGATCCAAATCAGCGACACGATTCAAAAGATTCATTCGTTTGACTGA